GAGCGGCTCGCCGGTACCCGCCGGCGGCGGCGGCCGCAGCCAGCAGCCTGGCGCGGCTTGGAGGGGCTGGGCACCCCAATGCTAGCGGAGTGGCAGAAGTAGCCACCCAGACAACACCAGAGCAGAGCCCCGAAAATGCCAGTTCTCACTCCACCACGATAGCTCTGCGCTGCCCCCTCCCACCGAGCTCAGATTCTGATGACTCAGAGCCAGACCTTTCTGTTGTCAATTGCAGCAGGGACACGCGATCACAGAACAAGATACAAAGACCAAATATGTTACAGAAAGAAATAGCCCGCCTTGCCACCCTCTCAAATCGTCAGGCTCCACCAGTGGAACCTTCCACTGGCCAGCAATTGGCATCGCCAGCAGTTTTAAGAAATCCCTTGCAGTCCCGATGGGCATCAGTTGTGAAAGATGCTCTTTTAGACGGTGACTGGAAAGCTGTCAGCTCCCTGGCTTGTCCTGTTATAGTGTCTAATGGGAATGCCATCTGGGAGCCCCATGACTGGAAAATCCTACAATCAGCTAAGCAGACAGTCACCGCTTATGGGATCAGATCAGAAGCAGCCAGGAACATCATTCAGTATATATTCACAGCAGATGTGCTTTGTCCTAGTGATTCGTCTAACATTGCATCCCTGCTCCTGACACCTTCCCAATTTCTCATATTTTAAAGGGAATGGAGGCGGTTGGCAATTGAAGAGGCCAACAAACACACAAATGTGGGAGACCCCTTTTTTGGAGTCCAGCCAGATATGCTGACTGGGCAAGGACCATATGCAACCAATCAGGTACAACTTACCTTTCCTGTTGAAATACATCAATTGTCACAGCAATTGGCCCATCAAGCTTTGCTTTTGGTACCAGACAAGAAAAAGTCAGCATCCTATGCCACCATAAAGCAAGGAGCCACTGAACCATTTGGACAATTTATTGATAGGCTGTCAGCTGCTTTAAAGGATGCACCTGACGTGCCACCAGACGTTCAGGAACATTTATTCCGATCTCTTGCTTTTGAGAATGCTAACCCACCCACCAGAACCATCCTAGCCACCCTTCCTCAGGGCTGTCCAGTCGATGAGATGCTTGTCAGAGCCACACGCGCAGAACAGAGCAACCAAGCTGCGGCATTCACCGCAACCATCCAGGATGCAATTCAACAACAAGGACACATCATTGCAGCTGCTTTATCAAGCAACAACACAAGGAGACAAAAGACGTGATGAAAAACTATAGCAATACTGAGTGTTTTCCAAGAAACCAAGAGGGATGGACATTATGCAAATCAAAGTTATTTCAAATACAATGTGGATGAAAATTACTGTAAAACAAAAAAGGATAGAAATGTTAATAATTATTTACTTGCTAAAAATGTCTTTGAAAGCAAAGATTTGAGAAAAGTCAGTCAGATGGAATGTTGGCATTGAGTTCACAATTTCTGTTTTTGAGTTTTTATAGATAATAAGATAAATAATAATTGCCAAGTTTTTATGGATAATGATAAGTAGTGATTGTTACTAATGTTATATGAATGCTTGACAAGATTGTTTTAAACTATTTTAAACATTTCTTGTTAATAGGTTGATCATATAATGTAAGTTGTCTGATTTTTGTGATAAGAATTATTATTAAGATGTTAAGGTATTGAGGTGTTGTTTTAATATTTACAGTCAGTTTTCATATGTTTTATGGGGTTTTTTTTTTAGGTGATTGATTGTAAGATGTGTTTTTCAGGATCCTGTGTGTTTGATTTTTTAACTACTTATGTGTTTTCTTTATTCAATTTTCTATGCAGCTGCAGTTCATCTTTTAAAAATTTATAGTCCAAGTTCTGGTTCAAGATTTCAGACTTCAAATTCTCAGATTTTTGAAGAAAAGGTTTGTTGTATTTAGAGAATTTTTGTCTTGAATCATTTGATGTTTTGATAAATTGTTAATAATAAGGTTTTTCACTTATAACTGTTATTTTTAAGACTTTTGCTTTAAACATATCCTCCAATTAGAGTTCGAGCTCTGGCCAAGCTCTGGCTCTACGTGGATGGTGTGATTGATCCAGGTGTTTTCTGCATCAAAAAAGTATTCAAGTCCTTTTGGCTTGACAATTTGACCATACAGGACAGCTGAGCCTCAAAGGAGGTTTTGGAGAGACATGATCCGGACATGTTTTATCCAAATCTCTGTTGTTTTAAGGTTTTTCAGCTGCTGCAGACTCTGGGATGACAATTTGATAGTGTAGCACTTGGTAACTGTGATTTTATATGTAATATTGATTGTGTATTATTTGATTGATTTTATTTGTTGTTAGTTTCTTTACTATATGCATTGTTTTGTTCTTAATGTTTTTCATGTTTATAACAAAGATGTTGATATTTCCATTTCTTCATGCAAGTTTTAGGGAACAGAATTGAGAGAGGACCCTCCAGTCCCTGTGGGGGTGTTGGGTTTGTTTGTGTTTTAACAGGTGCAGAATCAAAATGGATTTCAGTGAAGAATGTGGAACTTCTCAATTGCAAGAGGGCACTGATCTCTCCACAAGTGGATCAGAGGATGCACAGCAAAAGTAGATTGTGCAAAGATTTGTGTTTCACCCACAGAAGATCGTGGGCTTTGAGTTTTTTTTATAAGTGTGTTTTTAATGATGTTATAGAATTTTTTTTTTGCTAAGTTTTTAATAAGTTTTAGTAATGCCTGTGATTTTTCTGTTCATCTTGCCATTGTCTTTCAATGGCAAAAGAAAAAGAGGGAGGTCCCAACGGGGATCAACAGAAATTCTACTTGAGTGAGTGTTTTTACCCATCCAACCAAGAAGTCGTGTGATGGACAGGACAGATGCTCTTGCTGCATTGATACGAAAAGGCAGAAACAGAATTTTAAAAATAGATGAAACAGAAAAATAAGTTGAAATATCATAAGTGTGAAGTTAGATTTATCAGAAGTTAGTTTATTAGAAGTTATAGTTTATGTTTGAAATTAAGATTGTTTCTTTTATGTTAGCTGGGTCAAAGGGTATTGCACTTTTTTTTATCTTTATAGTTAGTTAAATTGTTATACCGTGTTTTTTACAGTGTGTGCAAAAATTAGTTCATTGAGCCTTCACTCCAGCCTGAGTAGCTCAAAAGAAAAAGAGGGAATTGTTACAGCATTTTTGAGAGAAAGAGGGCATGAATTGTGAAAGTTGAGCTACTCCAGGCTAGGCCTCAGATTGAGGCCTGGTGGGGCCCTCAAAGCCTCTGACGCAGTTAGAAATTCAGGGTTGTGGCGCAGGTAGAAAATAGTCTTAAGGTACTGTGGGGACCACGGGGGGTGAACTAGTATAGGTTTTATGGTGTACAGTGCAGGCTGTTTTAAGGAAAAGGTAAACAATGTTAGCCTACCAATCAGAGTGTCTTTGTTTCTGTAAACTATATAGAAGCTTATATAAACTACCGCCTGATTTTGAATAAACGGAGAACGTTGCATTAATCATATTGATTGGATGTGCGTTTGTCTTGTCCAGTTTCCCGTTTTCCTGAGGTTCCCTGGCTTTAACAATGCTCTCAGCAATTGAAAGAAAACTGCATTGTTGACCTCTTTCAGCAGTGAGCAATCCAACCGCTTGGTTATGTCTGCAAAATAAGCAGAGTCAGTAACCAAATCCAAAGGCACCTGAGAAAACCTCTGAAATGCCATAGCAACGGCTTTCAACTCAACCAATTGGGCTGAGCCGGACACGTGGCCTTCCAGCACTTGCTATCCAGACTCATCCTTCCAGGTCACAATGGCCTTTCCTGTTTCTCCAGAGCCGTCAGTGAAGACGGTGGATCCCCGCACTGGCACTCGACTGTTTTTCGGTCATAACGACAGACTGGTCATCTTTGCCAGTTGCAGCAATTTGTGACTGGGCAGGTTATAAACAATTTACCCTAGAAAATTTTGCAGCGCGCTTTGCAAAGGGACACTGTTAATAAAACGCCATTCAAAGGTGTCCCTCTCCACTGGAAGAACGATCCTTGCAGAATCAGCCACCATCAATTACAAACACCGATAATGGCATTTGATTATCAACTGGGCAACCAAATCAATCAGCAAAGACGCCGTCTTTTTGAGCTGATGGGGCAAAAAGAGCCACTCTAAGATGTGCAAAGGATCAGGCCATTTGTCATTCCATTGGCCAATGACACCTGTGGGATGACTGTCTGGATAGGTAATAAAAACCACGATATCAATGGAAGGGTCTACTCAGTAAACCTGATGAATAGACAGAGCCTGTTGAACCTCCTCCAGCGCTTGTCCTGCTTCAGGAGTCAATTTCTGAGGTGAACTCAGATCCAGGTCCCCCTTTAAAAGGTAGAACAGCAAGGACATCTGCGCTGTGGTCAGTCCCAGATAGGGGTGTAACCAATTGATGACTCCAAGCAATCTCTGGGCATCAATCAGGGTCACAATAGACTTTGGAAATTGCACTTCCTGATGGTGAATGGTTCGCTCAAGAATCTTGACCCGCAGATACACCCAAGGAGGTTGGCTCTGAACCTTCTCCAGAGCTACTTGCAGTCCATAAGAATGCAGGGTGGAGAACAACTGAGGCCGAACCCTCAGCAGTTCCTCCTGAGTGGGCACCACCACCAGAATGTCATCCATGTAATGATAACAATACACCTCAGGGAACTGCTCGCAGACTCTGGACAAGGCCTGGGCCACATACCAGTGACAAATAGTCGGACTGTTCTTGCAGCCCTGTGGCAAAACCTTCCATTGATATCTCTGCACAGACTCAGCATTGTTGACAGAAGGCATGGTGAAAGCAAATTTTGGTCTGTCATCAGGATGCAAAGGGATTGTAAAAAACCAATCCTTTAAATCAACGATCAAGATTTCCCAACCTGCGGGGAGTGTGGTAGGCGAGGGCATACCAGGCTGCAATGCCCCCATACTTTCCATGACCGCATTGACTTTTCGGAGGTCCTGTAACAACCTCCATTTCCCCAACTTCTTCGTGATCACAAAAACAGGAGAGTTCCAGGGACTGGTAGAAGGTTCAATGTGTCCCTGACGAAGCTGATCCTGAACTAACTCATGAAGAGCCACTAACTTCTCATATGGCAGGGGCACTGGTTCTCCCAGACAGGTCTGGTCACCAGCCACTGTAAAGGCAGTGTAGGATAATCTGCGTCCTTCAGCACAGTGACTCCCATCAAAAATCTGTCCTGATCCGTACACCCCAGGCCGCCAGCACATCCCGCCCCCAAAGAGTGATGGGAGCTGCAGTAACATAGGGCCGAACCGTAGCTGTCTGCCCTTCTGGGTTATTGATCAACACAGCCTGCTGGCTCACAAATGTCTGCGCTGTACCCCCCAATCCTTCAATGGCCACTCCCACAGAGTCCAGAGGCCACTTAGGAGGCCACACAGAGGCAGAGACAACTGTCACATCGGCTCCGGTGTCGATCAAACCTTGCAGCTGGATCCGAGGCAGGCTGGCACCTGGTAAAATCACGGACCACATCATCTGCTGATGGTTGGTAGAAATGACCGCGGACCAGAGGACTTGTGGCAGTCCCATGGATCTGAAACCACCATCTCCACACGTCCATTGGTCTGCCCTGGAGAACACATGGGTGGAAAGGCACAAGTTGAGCAATGCGGGTCCCTGCTGGAATAATGATGGGGGGAGGATGTGGAAACCGTGGAACAAATCTGGCCCATAAAATCAGAATCAATGACACCCGGGTGCACAAAGATTCCCAGAAGGGTAGCACTAGGTCGTCCTACCAACAATGCACTCAATCCATGGCCTAAAGGCCCGAATGCATTCAGAGGAACCCTGTGCACCTGACTAGAATCTAAGATGACTGCTGCTGCGGTGTGTACATCCACCCCGGCAGAGCCGTGGGTGCTTGCGCTGAGTTGACTGAGACACCCTGCGCTGGTGCTGTGCTCTGGGGGATCATTGTTTCAGTGCACAGTTCCTCTGTGCTCTCTTTCCCCCGTTTCCTGAGCCTGACAAACACTTACCATTGGCATGGTAAGTAGACTTGCAGTCTTTTGCAAGATGACCTGGCCTGTCACACCTGGAGCACAGGAAATTAGAGTCTGGCCCTTTCCTGACTTTCATTCCCTGCACCTGCTTGCCCTTCTTCTTCCTCTTTTTGCGACGACCAGCCCCTGAGGATGGGAGGTCTGCCCTCAAGGGTGCTGCCAGAACAGACATCTTATGGCCCACTGTACCAACCTTGGAACAAGCTTTGACCATGTCTGTCAACGATGGATCACCTGGCAACGCATTTATAATTTTCCTACAATCTTCATTTGCATTGTCCCATGCCAAAGTTTTGCACAAAACCTGCCTCAAATTCTCATCCTTGATCTGCTTTTCTAAAGCAACTGCAAGTCTTTCAACAAATGGCAAGAACAATTCTTTGTCTCCCTGTGTTATCTTTACATATCGTTGCCTGGGAGCAGCTGTCTCCATGGTTTTCATCAATGCCGCAAAGCCCACCTTCTGGGCCTGCTCAAGTATGACGTGGTGCCAAGTAGCCTGAAGATCAGGATTGGCAAAGGCATTCTGTCCCATGAGCACATCCACCCCCACACAGCATCTAGGGTCTGTCTGAGGGTAGCGTGCATTTTCAGCTGCAGCCCTGTCGGCCATCCTTCTCCAGTTGTTCATAAAAACGTCAAGCTGCATGGGTTGGAACAACACAGAGGCCAGATGTTTGATATCCTAGGGAGCAATCAGGTCAGTGATTATGACTCTAAGGACCTGCATCAGTGGAGCAGAACCCAGCCCATATTTTGCCACTTTGTCCTGCAAATCCTGCACAACCTTCCAAGCTATAACATCGTGCTTGTCCTGTTGTCCAGAATTTGGGACAGCCTTGTGCACAGGAAGGACTTGAAGCTTACATTGCACTGAAACACTGTCACCCCCATCCTCTCGTGCTCCCTCTGGAGAGGGCAGAGGAATCAACTGACCGCTAGGAATGGTCTCTGTCTCCTTGAGCAGTGGGTTCGGAACCGCACCACCAGGTTTTCCCACCTGCTCTACCAAAACCCAATCACAAGCCTCCAAAGCCCATTCCTGACTGCATCCCAAAAGCGACGGGGATTTATCAGTCACACAGACACCTGACAGGCAGGCAGCGTCTACAGATCCCTCTGAGATGCCCGCCATCCAACACACAGTCATGGCCCTGTGGCGGAACCGAGCAGATCAAAGCATTGCTGTCACTACCTGCCTCCTGTGACAGGGGCGTAGGACAGTCTGCAATCCACAGGGGAGGGTGGGTTGATGGGAGACACCGAGGCAGGGGAAGCGGCTACCAACCACGAAACAGAAGAACCGGGCATGGCCCCCGAGCCAACAGCCCCTGGCATGGAGGGGCCAGCCGCTGGTGACGGGGCGGGGACTGGAGCCATGACTGGTGGCTCGGCAACACGGAGGGATCAGCTGGAGCTTGTGACACCGTGGATGTGACACGCACAGAAGCTGCAGTCATTGGAGACAGAAACGGTGCTGGCTGCTGGCACGCAGCAGGCATCACGGGCACCGGAGCCACAGCGGGCAGGGCAGGAGGCAGGAGTGTCGCTGCTGCCAAAGCAGCAGGCAGGGCCAGAGGCAGAGGTGCTGCTGCTGAGACAGCGGGGGGTGGGAGCCAGAGGTGCCGCTGGAGCCGCCAAAGCAGCGGGCATGGCGAAAGGCAGAACCGCTCCAGCCACGGATGTGGTGGGCGAGGCGCCGAACCCCATCGTTGGCAGAGCCGGCGCCACAGCAGGCGTGGCATGGAAGGCAGGCACCGCCCCTGGTGTGGACATGAGTCCCATGGCAGGGAGGGCAGAAAACGACAACGACCTGTTAGCGATGGGACTCTAAGTCACTCTGACCAGATTAAAGTGGGCTAATTCAACAGAACTCCATTTGATGAACTCTATGAATTTGATAGCCCTCCCTGGCTGCTATCAGCAAGCAACGGTGCCTCTGCACAACACAGCTTTTAGCTCTTGAAAGCTTTGAAAGGGAAAAGTAGGAGATAGCCAGCATGGACTTTGCTATTGCTGTGGCAGACAAGGAAAACTCAAACTGGATCAGAATCCCATGCAGTGTGAGAAGGACAGGAAAGGTTGTGCAGAAGCATCTTTGCTGGAAAGAGCAAACCAACAAACCACAAGTTGGAAGTGTCCCCTCCTCAGGTGGCTAAAGCACTTGGATGCAGTGAGGGCATGTTTGGCAGGGAAACAGCCCTTGTGGTGAGCACTGTCATGTGTGGATCTATGGATCTGCAGGTCCCCCACGAGCCTCCCGTTGTCCAGGCTAAAGCTCCCTCAGCACATCCTCCTTGGCCTTGTGCTCCACAGTCTTCCCCAGCTCCCGTGTCTTTCTCTGCACACGCTCCAGCCCCTCAAGGGCTTTCTGCTTCAGAGGGGCCCACAAGTGGACACAGCACTCCCAGCTATGGCCGCAGCGCTGCCCAGCCCAGGGGGACGGTCACTGCCCTGCTCCTGCTGCCCCACTGCTGCTGACACAGGCCAGGATGCCCTTGGCTCTCTTGGCCACCTGGCCATGCACTGGCCCACCTTCAGCTGCAGTAGCAAGTAACACATACCAACCCCTGGATTCCCAAAAATCCACTGAGCAGGAGAAGGAGATGGAGCGTGGTGCTCGGCAACAGGGGCAGGTAGGCAGTGCACTTCCAGGACATCCTCAGATCAAAACAGTGTGCATCTTGTCCTTCTCACCCCTCCAGCCCAGCACCAGGCCTTGTATCTCCCACTCAGGAGCGAAATTTTCCCAGTTACAGCATCAGCTTACACATGGCCGGTGCATGACATGAGGCCACAATGGCTTCCGATACTGAGGCCATGCCAACAACGGCTCCATTGCGCTTTGCTCCCCTTTCAAACCTTAACTGCCCACCGATTGACCAATACATAGTTTCTCTTTCAAGGGTCATGTTCCCACCTGTTAAACAACAGACTTTCTTCATTGTCTCTTCAACCTACTCAAATATGGCAGGGTCTTGGACATGACTCTGGTTCCTGACACAGTCATTTGGGAAATATTCCATTCCTTAAATTCTCCTTTGCTGGTCAAGAGCCTCCTAAAAACACTTTCTTCCCTTTGAATGCATTCCAGCTACCTTCTTAGCAGGACCACTCTCTTTATTCTCAAGGCTAAAATAGCTACTTGCACACATTAGGCACTGCAGTGGGGCAATACAGGGTTCAGCACTGCCTGTTAAAGCAAAAGGAATTCACAAGCTTAAGGCCTATTTAATACACTTAACGCCTCTCCTTCCTATTCTGGGAATCAAACACAAGCATTTCATCAATACACCCTTCAAGTGCTCTTGCTGAGTGAAACCACATTGCTGTGTCAATACAGCAGCCGGGACTTAGTTTTTTCATGCAGGGAAAGCCAATTCTTTATTCACGCAACTTATTTTTATACCATTTTCACAGACCTCATGTTCAGCTCTAATTGCCTGCTAGTTTTCTTGCCACACAATTCACTGCTTAGGTTTTTTTGTGTGGATGTGCTAAGGCTTTCTTTTTTACTCAGGTGTTTACATCTTTCCTTTGTGGACTCTCATTGGACAGATTTCTTGTTTATTACAGATGCAAACAGTTTTCCTACCACAAGAGCTTATTCTGCTAACTGCAGTCATTCTTATGACTTTTCACATGGGAAGTTAGCTAGCTGCACGTAGAAGACATAACAGGCCAGCTGCTCATTTTTAGCAGAGCAAGGCCTGATTTTATAAGGCTTTTCTTTGACAATACCCTACCTGTGTGCAACACATTGTGACTTTCTTTCAGAAATTAAGGAAGAAAACACAGGTTGCCTGCTTAAGTTATTCTCCTCCCTTCCAAATCAGTTCATGACCCAAGCAGAAGCCTCAGGCGCATCCCCGATTCCCTCTCTCCCAGCAGGATTCCCTCTCTCCCAGCAGCTCAGAGCTGCGTGGCACAGCGCTTGCTGTGTGCCAGGGAGCACAAAGCAGGCTGGCCTGCTGGCCCTGAACATTTCTGCAAAGCGCTCTGCAGGTCACAGCTGTGCTGTGGCTCAGTGCAGAACTGCAGGGCTGCAGGCGCTGCCTCCCAGAGCTGTGTGAGGCACTGGCTCCTGCAGCCGTGAGCTGACGAGCTGTCCCTGCCTCCCGCTGGCCTCGGGTCCCCTGGCACAAGCCTGAAGGACGCTGCCCTGTGCTCCAGCCTGCCGAGCAGCCCGGCTCCCTGCCCCGGTGCCCAGAGTGCTGCACACACTGCTGACCTTTGCCAGGAGTCGCAGGGCAGCGGCACAAGAGTGGGAATGCTGAGCCAGGCCACCGGGCCTCGGCTGCCCTTGGCCTTTCTCTCCTCGGGCCAGCCTGCAGACGGCCAATGCCTCCAGGCTGGGCTGTGCCAAACAGGGCTCCACTTCCCCATGGGAGCTGCCGGCTGTGCCTGGGCTCTGGGAGCGGAGGATGCGCCCGCTGCCAGCAAGAGTGTCATGGTTTGACACTGGCACAATGCCAGTGTCCCCATGAAAATGCAGTCTCTCAATTGAATGCTGTGAAATGCAATCGAGAACAGAGCAAAGCAGGCCCAAGCTCAATAACAAGAAAAAACTTTATTAAGCTACTACTACTATACTACTATAGAAGGAAAAAAGAAAGAAAAAAAACACACACAAAAATCAAAATGAAAACCTTCCAAATCATTCCCCCTCCCACCACCCACCTCCAACAAACCACAGTGAGACACACCCTGGACCCAAATCAGATTTCCACCCTCTAGACAATTGATTCTCAGTCCATTGAGGGAGAGAGGAGCCCCTCCTGTGCCACAGACCCCCCAAGAAACACAGCTGCCACATCCTGTGCTTCCATGTCACCACATGGCACCGCCCAGAGAAAAAAAGTTTGCCAATGGTGACCCTCTCCTTTCCATGCACAGTGCTCTCACCACCAATGCATGGATGGACAGACTGCTTTAAGGATTTTTCCTTTCAAGGATGCCCTCCCAAGAGGGGAAAAACAACAGTTCAGTTTTTCATTTTTGGGACCAACAGTCCCCCCCATTTTCCCCTGGGGCTGAGGGTCCAAGAACAGAGATCTTCTTCTCTTCTTCCTCTCTGAAGGGGGCACCACCAAAAACCTCCCTAACTTTTCTCTCTTCGCTCCACTTCTGTCTTTTCCCAGCTGAAGCAGGTCTCTGGCTCACTGGCATCCTCCTAAAATACAGTCTCTCTTGGAGGAGAAGATCAGTTCAGTCTGTGGCTACCAAGAAAAAGTCCAGCCAAAAAGCCACTCCATCATCTCCTCCCACCTAGAATTTCTCTTTCTAACATCCCAGGGTCCAAGCTGTCTCTCTTCCTCTCTTTCAAACCGAGGAGGAGAAAAATTTCACAAAGCCTTCATTTCTCAGGAAGGGTTAAAAGTCCCCACTCCCCAAGATGGCTTGCTGCCCAGGCTCCGGCTCCCACAGGCAGCTCCCTTGCGGCCCCTCCGCTCTTCTCCTTCCCCGCGGTGAACTGCTGATGAAACCGCCACTGTCTCTTTCTCTCTCTTGAGAGATAGAGAGAGACTCTGGGGGGGAATGGAGACATCCCAGATTTCTCCACCCTTCCATCTACAGGGGGCCAGCCCGGTTCCAGTCCCTCCACCCTTGGGCCTACCTCCGAAGGCCACATGGCTCTCCCCTCCACCACCCAGCTCGTGGCCGGGGAGGGGAGACTCTGCACTGCACCCTGACCGGAACCAAAGAGAGTGAGTTCTCCTGGGAATTCTGCTTTTAACACCTCTGTGTTCTCAGAGGCGTGTTTACCTTCAATTGGTCAATGTCCATATTGACCTCTTCCTTCCGGGAAAAATTCTTTTTCCGTGTCAAACCACAACAAAGAGGCACGCAGGGCCGGGCTGTGCCTCCTGCAGCTACAAGGGCCTCCTTGCAGCCTGCCCTGCCCAGGCTCAGGCTGCTCTGGGCTCTGCCAGGGCTCTGCTGCGGCTCCACGCCAGGCAAGGCCGGGCCCGCTCTCACCTCGCAGGCGCTGACAGCTCTGCACCGCAGGAGACCTTTCAGAGCGCCTCTCTGATCTTTCTGCTTTCCCCGCTGAGCAAGGCTCTCCTCCAGCCAAAGACACTGCACTTTGGGATACAAATCCAAGTGGCAGGCACCCAAACGCTCTGGAGTCACAGATGAAAGCCTGCATCTGCACAGGATGTTTTGGCTGCACCCTTCCCCCTTTGGTTTTTCCTGCAAATGCCATTGCCCTTTCTGCCTCAACTAGAAATACTACAGCTGGCCAAAAGCTGGCCAGTAGGCCATATTCCAAAGGCAGTGTGGTCTGAAGAAGATGAATGAAGAAGAGCCTTTCCCACTTTTATTAAGTATCACTTTCCACCTTTAGGAAACAACAGAAAGTTCAGAAGGAAACAGTGAGCTTATTCAGAGTGAGAAAGAAGGGAATCTTCAAGTTGAGTTGTGGTTTCAGAAACTTTATTAATTTCCAATCCTACTCATCCAGGTCCTATTAGACAATCCTACCCTAACACTAACCCTAACCTACAATCCTACTCTAAGTAAATTGTAATGGTCCTGATGTGATTATCACATTCTAGTCTCCTTCCTCTTCTTCACTGAAACAATCAGTGGCACCAGGCTGGACGCAGGCTCAGCAAATGTTATAAATGGATGCTGCCCAAAAGAGAAAAAAAATCAACAAAAAACAATGAACCATGACTTTCCAAGCTCAGTATTTCACAGGATTCTTCTGGCTCCTAGAAAGATGCAGAAAGAGGACCAGTGGGACCATCTGCACCTCCATTTTTATGTGCAGGATGTTTCCGTCAAGGCAAACCTGGCCCAGAATCCCACTCATCCTTTTATTCTGGTTTCTCCATCTTGCTGGGATTTTTGCCCTGCCAGTGCCCTAGAAATGGTGCTTTCTGTCCCTGGGGTTTCTTCCTTCAGGAAGCTCCAGTGACTCCCATATGTCCCTGTCTTGGAAAGACAGGCACCGTGCTAATTTCCACAGGCACACAGAGCAGTGTCTGCCTTTCCAGGCCCTGCCCCTCCTGTGCTGGATGGCACCTTCCTTCCCAGCAGGGCCAGCCGAGTGGCTCTGGGTCCTGCAGTTCCCTCTCTGCCACACAACCTGGCAGTCAGCCTGGGCCAGTTCCCCTCTGCCTGAGCGTGCCAGGCAGCAGATGGGGCTGCGACAAGTCCCTCTCAGCTGTCCCTGTTTGTGTGCCAGAAACCTCTAAGGGTGGGGTGGGGGGCACAAACCAGGGCCCCTCAGAGGCTCACAGTGAGCCCCTCACAGCCCCTCCTGCCCACAGCCAAATCTCTCCAGACTGCTCTGCCAGGACTGGCAGCCTTGGGTTCCTCCGCCACCATTTCATGGCTCTGTACCCTGCATTGCTCTACTTCAGTTCTTTTGCTGTTAGGTAAAACAGAACACACCACCAAATTACAAAACAGGGCGACAGAAACAGAGGACAGAGTGCCTCTCCTCTGAGGACAGGCTGAGAGACCTGGAGTTATTCAGCCTGGAGGAAAATAGACCCCAGGGAGACTTCATTGCTGAGTTCCAGTACTTCAAAGGGGATTCTCAGCAAGTAGGGGATACCTTTTTTTAACAGGTTCAATTGCAATAGGACATGGGATAGTATTTATAATATATAATGGGGATTGAGTCAGATTAGATCTAAGGAAGAATTCTTTCCTTGGAACACAGTGCCACACTGGCACAGATTGTCCTTAGAGCTGGTAGGTGCCCCATATCTGGGTAGGGATGGGGCAAATATTCCAGGTCAGGTGGGACAGGGCTCTGAGCAACCTGATCTCTTTAAAGATGTCCCTGCTCATTGCAGGACACTTGGACCAGAGGACTTTACAGAGCCCTGCCAGCCCAGCCCAGTCTAGCACTCCTCAGCATTTTCATTTGAAGAGCACCAAGAGTGGAGGTGAGGAGGAAGGGGGCTCATCTGATGCCTCAGACCTCAGTGGAGGAGGAGCCCATCCCTCCGACACTGTTTCACCTCAGCCCCTTGGCATTTTTTTACCTGCAGGAGATCCTTGGAAGACCAGCGCCGTGCCTCGTCTGTCTGCAGGCAGCAGCTCAGGAAGTCATGCAGGGAAGGTGAAAATTGGTTGGGCTGCTGCAGCTTTGGTTTCCCTCTTCTGGCTATCAGGAGCTGAGGCTGGGGAAAAAGGAAACATGAGGCTCCAGCTGCTTCTTTGCCATCTGTAACTGCTCTCCCTGAGCCCATTGTTAAAGCTCCACTATGCAGGGCAGTTTCTGCCCTGATAGAGACCCAGGGATGACTTTCCTTTACCAACCAAAAACCTAAAGCCCGATGCAGCCACAGCGTTTCCAACATTCAGCAGATCTTGCCTTGGCAGCTGATTTCATTAGTTAGTGGGAACTACATCAGCAAAAGCACGTTTTGCTTCTCTGAGGATTTACACCAGCCTGACAGGCTATTTGGAAGGGGGAATTTGCTCTATCCATATTATTTCCAAGGATTATTACATGAAAGGAATCTTTTCACTGCTTGTTGGTCCCTTAAGCACAGCTTCCATGAAACAAAAATCATCAAGTTTGTTTTTCTCCTCTTGAAAAAAAATGCAGATGCAGAATCCATCTAAATCGGACAGAAATAGCAATGGAAAGAGGCCTGGGAGTCTCCATGAAAACGCCCATCACAATAGTAACAGCTCTGTGCTGGCAGCACTGAAAAAGATGGTGACCAAAGAGACTTTGTTACTTTCTTCTCTAACCCAGAGTAAAATTTCCTTCACTTTTCCCACACCCCCAGAGGTCACAAAGGGGGTTTTATCCTGTCTCTCTGCAACTGAGCTCAGCCACTGGACATGGTGGGGAGCTGGAGTCCTCACTGTCCTTAGAACTGTGCAAGCCAGGGATGGCCCTGCTCCTGTGGTAAAGGAACACAGCAACGGCATCAACTGCTTGCGTTGGATCCCAGCCCCAGGCACCGGGCTGCAAGCTCATCAACTTGTTACAGTACCCAGAAACAGCCAAGGGTTTAGTGCACAATTCTAACTGCAGTCAGAGAAAAACACATCCGAAACTTATCCAGGCCACCCACACACATGACTGAACAATGTACAGATGATTTGAAAGCCTGAAAGTTGTGAAGACCCACAAGATTTAGAAAAGATGGTATAGTTTGGAGGAAAATTGATGTGCTTTGGTTAATAAAGGGAAAAGCAAGCAGAATTGCTTGGGCATTGCTTTGGTGGTTTTTATCCTTTATCTTTTTTCTTTTTCTTTTTTCCATTTCCCATTTTCATTTTCTTTTGCTTTTTTTATTTTACTTTTAATTTTCTCTTCCTTTCCCCCTTCCTTTCCCTTTTTCTCTAACTTTTTATTTTTTTCTTTTCCCTTTTCTCTTCCTCTTCCTTTTCCATTTTTTTCTTTTTTCTTTTTCTATAAAATTGAAACTAGGAAGATTCAATCTCCATTTTGAAGGACATTTATCACACATCCAACCATTCCACTGAAAAATTCATTTCCTTCAGAGACAGAGCTCCAACATTGTTTAAAAAGCAAATGAGAAGTATCAGGCATGGCTGGAGGCCAAAATCGCAGGCTGCTGAACTGGTTAGGTTTCTGAACTGGTTACCTTCCTCTTCCCTTCTGATGCAACCAAATCGACTGCAGATGCTGATGTGCTGCAGGGACATTTTTAGAACAGGACCTTGGTGGAAATGGTGCCAGCAGATGGCAATAGGACTTTGTCCAATGGCACACAGAACATGAGACAGGTGAGAAAGACAAGCGGGATCAGGGAGTATTTGCACCTTACCGAAACAGGAGTTTCATTCCAATAAGGAACTTCTTGTTCCACCATTTCGATGCCCACGATTCCAAAAGACCATACGTCCGCTTTGGGGCCATATGCTTGACCTGTCACCACTTCAGGTGCCATCCACCCAGAAGTGCTGGCCACTGAGCTCCGTCTACTCTGCTCAGGGGTGAGCTGAGCAGAGAGGCCAGAGTCAGCTGTGGAGAAAAAGACATACCATGAAAGCCAGCTCAAGTTAAGAAGCCAAGCAAAAGAATTCCCCACTCTCAGTCTAAGAAAGCACTATGTCATCTGCTGAAAATCTGTCCCTGCTCTGTTTCCTCAGGGCTTGAGCCAAGGAAATATGGAATTGGCCACTTCAAGAAACCCCCTCGTTTTTTAGACTACCTCCAGCCTTTATTTTTCTGAAGCTTTAGACTTGGAGCTCCCTCCCTCTGGAAGGGTCACACACCAACCAACGCCCCTCTTGACTCCTTGTTCCTCGTCATACTTCTGTGCACGTTGCAACTGTGCCCATAGTTTGCAGCAGGGGTCCCTGCACTGCCACCAGCACCATTTCTGGTGAGCTGGCAGTCACTCAAAGCAGCCCCTCACCCCACATCCCTGAATGCTGCACCTGACCAGGAATATACTGACCCAGCTTTACAGAACCGTCGGTTCTGAGAAGGATGTTGCTGCTCTTCACATCTCGATGGATCATGTGGTTTGAGTGAAGAAAATTCAGTCCTTGCAGGCACTGAGAGAGAAAACAGAAACAGGAGGGCAAAAATTAGTGATGTGATTTCATCATACAAGAAAGGAAACAGCTCTAAAACATTCCCATTCCCCAGGGGAATGGCGAGTAATGGCAGAACACAGTGCCATTGAGAGGAAGAGTTGCTGTTCCAACACTTGCAGAGCAGGACATTTCTAAGGAAAGGCATGTCAGCTTTTGAAAGGGCAACAGCACCTGCTGTTGTAGAGTGTCCCCTGCAAACCAACCAGGATGACTGCTGCTGTAGTGGATGTGCTCTCTCCAAATGAGGGTTTGCCAAGAAAGAAAAAGTCCCTCTCTGTGGTGTGAAGTGAATCACTTTTGGGGTGGGAGGCTGCATGATAAAGGTTTTATTGCTGGCATCAGCACAGGCTTGGAAGTATCACATCAGTCACCTTCCTGAAGCAAACACTATTTTGTGTGACTACTGTCCTTTTCAGCTAAGGACGGTGTGAAATAGGTGTCTTTTTCTTTGCCATTCGTTTCAAATCCTGCCATCAGCACCTTTGCTTTTACAGGCAAGGAATGCAGTGCAGACAGGCTCGAGGCAAACGTTTAGAGAGGCAAGGTGAAGAACGGCAAATACAAATACACGAGAGAGAGTGAGAATACAACAGCAGAAGGTAAGAGTACAGGAACAGAGTACAGTGAGTGCAGGGGCACTGGCAGGCAGTTCCCTTGAGATGCTTTTACTTGCCCATAGCATACCAGCAACACAGAAACAAGGCTTTATACATGAAATCGCTCCAGGTCTGAGCCCCTGTTTCCCAGACAATCCTGCCCAAGCCCTCTGAAGCACAGGTGGGATCCCTGACCTCCCGACTGATGGCTGCCATTTCGTCTTCACACAGGTAGGTCTTGCTGATGACATCGCTCAGAGTGCCTCCGTCCATGTACTCCATAACCAGCCAGAGCTGCTCGTCCACAAGGCAGCTGAAAGAAGGAAACAAGGAGTGGAGATGAACATGCTTGTTTGAAAACAACAGCGTTGCTGTTGGAAAACAACAAGGGTTTTTTTCTGGGTGCCTTTGTGACGAGGACAGAATAAAAGCAATAGACATTCCCTCTTGGCTGTGCATTGTTTGCAATCTGTGCAGTCTCAAGGAGAAAGGCACAGCTGTGAAAAAGGAGATGTCTTAGGTGGGCAGCAAGCGAAAAGTGTGGTTTAGTAACAGCCCAGATAAAAAGCCTGTCACAGATGCTATTTCTGGAAATAAACACCTAGTCTTCCTGGCATGCATAGCAATGGAAAAGGGACAAGAATCCAAGGGAAATCCTCTCTAGGATGGTTCGTCAGAACTTAAAAGGTGCTGAGAAAAATTTTTTTAAAAATCAAGCCTCAAAACAATGTGGAGGCAGTGAACTTACAGGCTATTGAATTAGTAAGATAGGGCTGATCCAGGTTTTTGAAAAATTTTCAAACTGCATTTGCCAGGGTAGTTTAATGCAGACAAAATGCACTCTCTTCCCATCCATTAGAGATAAGTTGAAAAATAATAATGAACCAATAATTACCAGCTCTATTTTCTCCCAGTGACCAAAGTGGGTTTTTAACTTTGCATGCTTGCATTATGTCAACAAACATTGCTGGGATAAAACAACAGACACTCACCTCTTTAAATAATTCACAATGTTTGGGTGCTTATTCATTTTCATGACCATGAGTTCATTAAAGTCTGCTTCCTTCCTGATCAGTCCTTGAAGATTTATTTTCTTTATAGCCACCTAAAATGATGTTGAAAATCAGTAACATTAAAAGCTGGTGGCATGAGAACAACTTCTCACATGGAGTGAGGGATTTTGGAATGAATCAGCCAAACTGTGCCAAACTGCCTTGTGATTAGGCATGGGAATGGGAACAGACGTTCCAACAGCCCATTTCTCTGTTCCTTGGGGGCCAGTTACAGGACACACGGCCACTGAGGTTTTGTCTTGTCCGCTTGGTAACAATGATGTCTCAGCTATCACTCACAAACCTCTGACCACACTCCCTGCTGCTTTGTATGGGATTCAGAAGAAGTAATCCATGCCTTAATACTCTGTGGATACTTCTTGGGCTATGGGCAGGGTTTAGGGCTTTTAGGGACGCCTTTCAGATCTCTCCCTATGTGCAGTTCCCAAGTGCAGCACTGCAGGTGGCTAAGCAGCTACCAGTAACTCTCAGATGTATTTGCTGGAAACCAGAAGTGAGAATTCAGGACTCTGAAGCTGTAGCCCCAAAGAGCAGTGAGATGCTCTAAGGCACCACCTTTGTTTTAGCAACTGAGAGCGAGTGAGCACATCCTTCTCTGAAATGAACTCTTGCCCTCCTTGCCTTCCTTCTGGCAGCTGAGAAGGACAAAGACTGTCCCAAATATATTTTGCAGGCTGGTACCAGTCTGTGCTGCTTGTGCCTTTTCAGCATAGCTCTACTCAAAGCTCTGGCCACAGCTGCTCACACCAGAGGGGAAAGCCCTTGAGTGCAGCAGAGTTTGTGGGGGCTGTTGACATTTACCTCTCCTCCTGTGGCAGTGTTGAGTGCTCTACAAACATCTCCAAAAGTCCTAGAAACAAAATAGTAGCAAAGAAAGAAGAGCCATTTAGATCTTGCAGTGAAAGCCAGCCCACATATGAGATCTCTGCTGTAAATGCCTAAGACCTGCAGGACACTGTAGCATGGACATGTCTCTGGCAATGCCTTCTGGCCACACTTAAAAATTCTGATCAGCACTGACAATCTAACCCCAGTGTCTGAATATGTTTGCAGCTTGTCTGACTTCACACTTGGTGGATATTCCACCAACAAAACACCTGGTGCGTAGTTTTGTAAAATTATCACTGGTTGGACTCACCCACTGCCAATATTTTCCAGTTGAATGTATTTTATAATGGGATTTTCCATCTTCACCATTCTCCCTGAGGAAAACAACATGCAAGATGTTCACTTTAATGCAGAGATCGCAGCTTCCAGGAGATACAAAAGGCAGCCCCTATGTCTGAGGCTCTGAGCCCTGTGTGATCAGCTGGCTGACAACAAGAACAACAACAGAACAGGAACAAGAAGAAGAAGACAGGCAGCTCTGCAGCACAAGTGGCGGGCACAGAGACTGATTTTCTAGCGTCCTTCAAAGAGAGAGAGGTCTTGACAGCAAACACACAGGGAAGTACAGGGAGATATATTCAGAGGAGACAGAGACCAGAAGATGACAGCTACCAAGGCAAGTAAGTTTGTCATCTAGAAACATTAGGGAGAGCTGGAAATAACAAAGCCTTTGTTTTCTTGGGAATAAACACTGTGAGATTCAACAAAAGGTTTCCTACTTGCTAAGATTAAATGCACCTTGATATCTAGAATCAACTCCTCTGAACACATGCCAAGTTCAGAACAGGAGGAATATTGCCAAGCGTTCCCATCTTCTCCACCTTGCAGTAGTTTGCCAGAAGAATGCCTCTGTGTTTGTAAACCAGAGCAGCTCATCCTATAACCAATCCCAATGGGGCTTTCAGGACCAGAACCCTCACTCTTTATGAGCAGGGTGAGCTCAAAGATGCCCTTGCCTGTGCCCTACATGAAGAACCACACTGCTTCTCTTCACCCTGAAGCGTGGATCAGTCACTCCCATTGGACTCGCCCTCTTGGCAGCACACAAGTCCCCATCTTCCCAACTCAGCACGGCGGGCAAGGGCAGAGAGGACAGCAGTGCTCCTCAGGCGGCAGCATGACACACACAGCTGCCCAGAGGAGATGCTGACCCTCTCATGGGTCCAGGCCATGCGACGCAGAAGCCGGCCCAGACAAGGGGCTGCTGGCTCAGGCAGCTCCATGCTGCAGCGGCCAGGCAGCATCGGGCCTCTCCTGGCTAAGGAAGGCTCCAGCCTCTGCACTCCCACCAGCCCTCAGGGCCAGGACAGCTGCCACAACAAGGCTGGCAAAACCCGAGCATGAGCACTGACAGGCACTGATGGGAAGAAGCCAGAGCGAGCCTTTTCCTCCCAACAGGTGATGGCAGACACAGCATCAGCTAGGCTCTGTTCTCAGCCCCACCAGGTCTTATCTGAGAGCACAGCACAGGCAGCTGTTATGGGCCAGAAGCAGAATCAATGCCCCGTGCTGAAGAATCACAAAGGGCTTGATGTGTTCCCCTAGAGACTGATCTGAGCAGGGGTTCTGCCGATGGCTAGGACTCAAGTGGTCACAGCCTTCTGCTGATCCAGGAGCAATCCCTGCTTCTGCCTTCAGCAGAGAGGGAAGCTCAGGCAAACTCCAGCCAGTCCAAGGTGCCCTCAGAGGCAGCAGGAACACCCAGAGCGCTCTCTCGCTGCCTCAGAGCACTGTCAGCACTTCCTGTGGGGAGTCCTAAATGTCCCTGTGACACCAAACTGAGGAGGACTGTCTGGTACAGCTGTGCTGACACCTGCACACAATACACTGTCCCTCAGGTAACAAAGACACCAGACGTACTCTGTTGCTCCTGGGAGTCACCATCGATCTCCTGTTGCTGAGCAGCAGCTGGGTCAGCGCGGGACATGAACCAAGTGCCCCGACTCCACTTCTCGGGCTGGGAAGCAAAGGCTCCTTGGGATGGCGCTGTTGCTGCTGCAGCAGGTTCAGTGACAGAGCCTGTGTATATCTGAGACAAGAAATGAGTTTGTGTCACGAAGGTGGCTGGCAGAAATTGCCCCGAGATCCCATTTCAAATGCAAGCCCTTTGGAAGCTGCTGTCAGCCACATGCAGAGCTCTTCAACAGAACTGGTTTGGATGTCCACTTGTAAAACCAAAAGCTGGTTTTACTTGAGTTCATAGCTGGTTTCATGTTCTGAAGGATGACTGCAGCAATGACCACTCCACTTCCTCCCAAGGACTCCTTCCTCCCTTTTAGGCCTGCAGACACATTGCAGCTCCTCCTTCTAGTGTTCTACCTCCTTCCATGGAATTCTGTTTTCCTGTAGCATCCTCAGGATGTGCTTATCTTGCAGCATCTCAGGTTGGTACAGCTCCTGTGCCTCACGCCAGCCTCGGGGTTCTTGATCGCCCGTCATTTCCTGGAAGTCTTTGCAGGCTGCCAGGTAGGACGACAACACTTCCACCTCAAGTCAAAGAGAACAAATCAGTCAGAGACTACAGCTTGTCCCCGTCAGCCAGGAGTCATCGGCTGTGAGGAAAGGGAAAGAACAGAACAGGAGCAGATTCACAAGGGATACAGACAGCCTGTAGCTCATATTCCAAATCTATCTGAGTGACCATGTTCACCTGCAAAAACACCTCAAGAAACAAGGAGAGCTGGAAGAAGCTAGCAGGAGTTAATTTGGATGACTGCTGGCCACGTGGCCAAAGGAGTAATCCCACTCTCCAGACCATCAGGTGAGATCCAGCAGGCCAGGAATTGTCCTTCAGAGCAGCTGTGATAGAGGCCTCAGAGGGATGGTACTCAGAGGCATCACTCCACCCACCTGCTGCTCTGCAGAGAAAAGACAAGGAGGGCAGAAACCACCAGTTTGGTGACTGCAGTGGCTATTTCACTCACTTGCTTTTCAAGAGTATTTTGCTCCTGAAGGAGGAGATTAATTTTCTCTCTGATGATTTCAATTTTTTTGTCTTGCTTCTTCTCCCTTGCCTTGATCCTAGCCTCAGTTTCCTGCAGCTCTGCCTGCAGCTGTTCATCAGTGTTCCGTAAAGAACAAGAGAGAGGAAGTTTCCTGAGTGGAGTGGCTGCTACTCTTTCACTCACCTGCTTTTGTTGATCACCCCTCTGCTGATGGAGATTCTTCTTCTCTTGGATGGTTCTCAAGTCTTCTTTGTTCTTCCTCTTCACTGCCATAGTGTCACTCTGAGCTTTGGGCAGCTCTGCTTGTGGCTCTGCCTTGATGTCCTGTACAGACAAATGCAGAGAAGTGACTGGGAGCTGCCATCAGGCTCAGCTTTTTCCTCTTGCAGCCTCAAAATCACATTTATTCAGCCACTTCTTTCTGCTTCCCTACCCTCCTCTGCTTCCAATGTAACCCTCCTGTCCCAGTGCTGATCTCTGCAGATTCCAAGGCTCTCTGCTTTCAGTGCCTCTGAGACTCCTGGCCTCCTCAGTCCCAAGAGCTCCATTTTATGCCCCTCTTCCTGCCCTTCCCTCTGACACCTGGCGAGTCAGGCTTACCTGGTCGTTCTCCTGTGGCTCTTCCACCTGCTGCCTGAGCTGCTCTTCCTGCTCTCGGGCTGGGAACAGCTCTCCCTGATTCTGCCATGGCATCTCTGATAAAGCAGGCTGCTCCTGCTCTTTCTCTGGAAGGACCTGCACAGAAAGCAAGAGAAGATGGGTTTCAACTTTACATGTGACACTTGTGGGCCAAGACTCAATGACTGATGGGCTCACACGTTCCCAAAGCACTGCAGTGCTGCAGCTCCCCTGGTCATTCTCTGCCCGTGGGGAGGCACAGATTCCAAAGTGACCCTGGCACTGCAATCTGGGGCCATCTGGGGCTGAAGCTCCAACAGCCTCTCAGGCAGCTGACAGGGAAGGTGTGTCATTTCTCCAGGTCCTGCTGAGGGCCTCCCTCTGCTCCTGCCATGTCCTGTCTGTCTTTCAGTATGACTGACACCCCACCCGCTCCCACAGCTCCATCCTGGCTCTGCAGGTGACTTCCTGGGTGAGCTCAGCCCTTGTGAGAGACACTTCTGGAGTTCCTGTTCTCTTCAGGCCTGCACCAGCATTCTCGCCTTTCTCACATCTACACTCTTGTTAGAAATGCTGGTCATTCAGGAGATAAGGACACATGCAAAGGTCCTCTGATGGAGGTCAGAGAGCCTCTATGGCCACCTCAGTATATGGAAGAGGACCAAGGTGTTTCTTCTCCCTCTTTTGTTAATTGGGAAATTTGACCAGCAGTCACAGAGACTCTCATAAGGCCCTATTAATGAATGCACTTTCACACCCTTAGGAATGCCAGTGAAGGAAACATGAGTCATGAATGCATGTATGAGCAAAGTCACCAGACCTCAACTACAGCATGGGATAGTTCCACCCTCTTAGGACATGTAAAACTTTAAAGGATAAAAAGGAGGCTTCAGGGCAGAAAGGCTGGAGGAGGAAAACATGAGGGGAAAAAACAACCACCTCTGGAGGGGGAAACATCTCTGCCTGCTCAGGATCAGTCAATGGAACTTGTCTCTCCTCCTCCCCTGAAGGGATGCCTTTAGGTGAGCTTTGCATCATCAACTGCTTTGGAGCAGAGCCAGGAAGATTCAGATAGATAGATAGATAGAGAGAGAGAGAGACAGATCTCCCATTTTTTAATCTCTCTTTACTATCCTTTCTATTGCTAGACACATCAACACTTGGTGACCAGTGCCCCAGTCAGCACAATCCTGAACTTTCTCTCCTGTTCCTTCAATAAACCACACTCTCAGGAAATCTGGAGCATTTAGGTGCTTATGGAATGCAATCAGATCCAGAGCACTGCACTGGGAACTGCACTCGTGCAGCATCTGTGTTTGGCCAAGTGTTTCTCTTCAACTCGACCACACTGACAGTGTTAAAGGCGCTGCAATCAGAAATAAAGCCCAGCCCCTCCCAGCTCCTCTGATCTCTGAGGACCAGCAGAGGTGAGGAATGCAAGGTCATTGATTTCCTGCACAATTCCCAAGCACAACACACTGATTCCCTGGGCTGCAAAAAGGCACAGGAGCTGTTAACCTGAAAGTGATGTGCAAGGCCTTACTTGCTAGCCTGGCATCACAACAGCTCCTTCAGCAGCAACATCCTTGCCCCAAACTATGTGTTCTCATGCAAAAATACTGCATCAGCCAGAACTGCCTCCTTGCAAACTAAAATTTGAACAGAATCTCTGCCAGTCCTGGAAAAGGGCAGGAAAGATTGAGAAAAAGCACCTTTGCTTGCTGGAAAGAGAGAAATTACACAGGGCTTCTCCCTCTAGCAAACAAACAAATACACAAACAAAAATATGAATGTTTCACTTACTCCAGTGTCTAAAGTTCTTAGATGCAGTGAGGGGATGTTTTGCAGCCCTTGAGGTGAGCACTGGATCTATGGATCTATGGATCTATGGTAGGGATCTATGGAAGTGTGCCTGAAGGTCCTTCACAAGCCTCCCGTTGTCCAGGCTGAAGCTCCCTCAGCACCTCCTCCTTGGCCTTGCGCTCCACAGCCTTCCCCAGCTCCCGTGTCTTTCTCTGCACACGCTCCAGCCCCTCAAGGGCTTTCTGCTTCAGAGGGGCCCACAAGTGGACACAGCACTCCCAGCCATGGCCGCAGCGCTGCCCAGCCCAGGGGGACGGTCACTGCCCTGCTCCTGCTGCCCCACTGCTGCTGACACAGGCCAGGATGCCCTTGGCCCTCTTGGCCACCTGGCCATGCACTGGCCCACCTTCAGCTGCTCTTGACCGGCACCCCTGGGTCCTTTTGGCCCATGCAGCCCCCAGGCACAAAGAGTCCTGTTTGACTTCAAATACGGCATCCAGAATTTCAAGGTGTACATCCTAGTTTTAGCATTACAAGACAGCAGTCAAGGACTCACAGCTTTGCTCCCACTCGAGGCTCCAATGCAGTTTTCAAATGTAGTTTTCAAAGTAGACTACACAATAGAAAGGATCAACAAACACATGCAGCCTCTTGCTTTTTCCTCAGAAGAAAGGTTTAGAACTACACCATTTGGGTTTTTTTTTGCCACATGGGACAAGAGTGGCCCCCCACAGCTTCATGGACAACACCATCATCTCCTTGCAGCTTATCAAGAGCCAAAAAACAGGCAGACTCAGAGCACCTGTCTGCTCTGCTACTGGCTGCTCTGCCTGAAGAGATATAAGAACAACCTGGCAACAAAGGCACCAAAATCCCTGACTTCAAGCAGCAACTCTGCATCCCCAGTGTGTCTCTGAAATACTCCCAAGTGAGCACACCCAAGAGGTTTGTAGGGACAAAGCACCACAAAGAGCTTGTGTGGTCAGATCAACATTATTTGTGCCTGCAGCTACTTGACCAGTCTCTGGAGGGGGACAGGGCTCTCCAAGCCACAGTGTCCCCTGTGTATCTGAGAAGGCTGAGCGCAGTGTCTTCGACATGCTCCCTGCTCTGGGAACAGAGAGCCTTCATGCTCCAGGCTGGCCCCTACCAGAATGCCAGGAAGCTGGGGCCTAAACATGACAGATCAAAGCCCATTTTCCAGCTGTCACAGGCTGCAGGAAATCGCTGCGTCCTGGCAGGACTCCAGCACTCAGCATCCTCAGCCAGCAACAGCAAGTGCTGGCTGGTCAGAAACTTGCCACTCTGCCTTGCACTGAAGGCAGCACCACCCACAGCTGGCACTTACTGGCTCACAATGTTCAGGCTGTGGTGTGACCACAGCTGGAGCCTTGCGGTCATACTGCTCAATTTGCTCCTCTTCAGCTTCTCCAGGAGCAGAGGGAGCCGGGGCAGAGACCGCTGTTGGTTCTGTGATCTGTGGACAGACAGTAGTGTGAGGGACAGGCCATTATCTATCATTTATAACCTCCTTTCTATTCAGCACTTATTTCTATTCAGTTCTATTTCTACAACCAGCTCTACTAAGGACAAATCAGAAACCTTGATAGCAATGGGATTCTGAGTCACTCTGACTAAATTAAAATGGGCTAATTCAGCTGAACTGCAAATTTTTCTGAATTAGATATTCCACCCTGGTTACTATCAAGAAGCAACATTCTCTCTGCAAAACGGAGCTTTTCATTCCTTGAAAGCTCTGAACTGGAAAAGTAGGAAGTAATCAGCAATGCCTTTGCTATTGCTGCTGCAGATATGGAAATGGCTTTTCTTTCAGCCTGCCCAGCTGGCCCTCTACACTCTACTGCCACAGGCCAAGCTGACAGCTTGCTCCACAATTCTTAACACCATGGACATGAAATGTTCCTTTCTCACTCACCTCAGGATTTGCACCTCTGAATACATGGATCAGGTGGCCTGTAGTGGGCAAGAAAAAATGAACCATACGCTGTGAGAAAACTGCCTGGCCTGGAGAATCCCACAGAAGAGAAGAAGTCAACCCAAACAGAGATTATTTTCCTTTCTCAACATCCCTCCAGGAGACACATTTCATTCACACAGCCAGCAAGAGATCAGGACCATATTCTTGGTTGTACCTACACTCTGGACTCTTTAGCCAGTAAATGAATACAAGCATGATCAAGAAAATGCAAATTGTTCTTTAACACTCAGTGCTTCTGTTCTGTCCAACAGAAAAAGCAGCTTTCGTTGTCTTCTCTTTCAGGTACATTTTTTAAAAAAAGAAGTTGCATGCACTAATTCCCATTAAGTTGCTGAAAACAGTTGCCCAGAAAAGCTTCCCCAAAATCCCCCTGAGCCCTGACAGTTCTATTGTGGAAGAGCACAGCAGCAGCTCTGGTGTTCTGGAGCAGACAGTCACTGCTTTGGAGTTTGCATTTCACTGCAAAGGAAATCTCTATTTTAGCATGCAGTCAAGAGTCATGTTAGGCAGTCAAATCCCTTAATGACAAAATGTAGAAAGAAAGAAGCTTTCCCTCAGTTCTGGGGAGAATTACAAAGTCTTCAGAAGGCCTTCCAAGGAAGTCTTCATTTACATTTTCAAAGCTGTCTTGCTGGTCCCAGCAAACTGAGGAAATGACAGACTGCTGCCTCAGACTCTCCCGTGGAGGGAATAGGACCCCTGCAGGTTCCCTTGCAAATGCTGCCCTGTGGCTACAGAAATCCCCTTGTAGCTGAACACCTTGACAGGAGCTTTACCAAACCAGTGGCACACTAATGCTCTTTCTGTTTCAAAATAACTCAGGCACTAAGAAAGAGCAGGAAGACATACAAAAGCCATGTTCGGGTACACCCAGGGAAAACCTCTACTTACGTGCCATGTTAGTCAGGTAATAGCTGAAATAAGAAACACCATAAGCTATGAAAGCTGCAGCAGCAAGTTGCTCAATCATTGTAGCACTGCTGTGCAGATTTGCTCCAACATCAGAAAAATCAAGGCTCTTGTCAGTGTGCAGCTCCCACTGACAAACGCCTCAAGCAGGAGGATGCTCCTGCCCTGAGCAAGCCCCAGGGCTGCTCTGACACTGAGGCCTTCCGTGCACCAAGACAACCTTCTGATGTCACCGTGACCACATGGCAACCATGCCCTGACATCACAATGCAAACACTCTATATTGGCCTGTGAATTTAGGCAGAGTAATAACCAACCTTCCCTACAGCAAAAGCAAAATAGCCAGGGAAGTTCTCCTCTGCCACAAAGCAGCACAAATTCCCCTCGTCGGCCAAACCCTGTTGTTCAAGGGATCCAAGAGTAACTCCAAGAGTGCACCAAGCACCCACAGTCTGTACCCGAACTGAGCACTCGGATGGGACCCAACTAAAGGAAACCAGACCAAGAAAATGGCCCAAAGCATTGCACAGAACCGGGAGAGAAGGCACTGTTGGCATAACAGCTGAAATAGTTCCTAACAAATCTCCCAGATATTTGCACATTTATTGGATATGCCCAGGGCTCCTGAGCGTGTACGTCTCTGCCTTTTTTTCCTTTTGGAAGCAGTCAAACTGGCAGCATCTGCCCGCCAGCAGGAGCTGCTCCGAGCTGGGAATGCCACTGGTGGTGCTGATTTCCAGAGGCTTCTGTGTCCCAGGAGAAGCCAAGGCAGGAGCGGGTTGAAAGGTGCTGGCGCTGCTGCTGCTCTGTGCCAGAGAGCCCCGGCTGGGCAGGGCACAGTGCCCACGGCCCTGCGGGCTCTTTCTCCTGCCAGAGCTGGGCACACCTGGGAACAAGGCATGGCAACTTGTGGGGAAACCAAGGGCTTTGTGGGGGCTGCATTGCTCGGAACACACCCAGGCCACCTGTGGCACAGAACCTTGGTCTCCTAAAATGTAAACAAGATGGAAACAGCTGGAAAAGGTTTCATTTCAACCGTTATTTATGCTCCAATAGAAATGCCCAAAATGAAAGCTATCAAGCATGGCCTGATCCACACTGCCAGCACAGGGTTAGAATGGAGGCATTGTTTTATTTCAGTGCTGGGTGCATGTGGAATCACTTCCCTGAAACATGCACACCCATGTGTTTGTATCCATGGAACTAAGACATATTCATTATTTTGATCAAATCCACAGGCTTAACTTCCACACAAAGTATTTGACGTATTTACATCACTTCCCCACAATTATTGACATTTAGAGGAGGGGTCTTGAGGGTCTCTGGTGGTCATTTGGGGAACATCCCATTCCTGAAATTCTCCTTCCATGGTTAAGAGCCTACTAAAGCCACTTTCTTCTCCTTGAATGCATTGCAGCTACGTCCTCAGTTGGCCCACTCTCTTTATTCTCAAGGCTAAGATATCCACTTGCACACATCAATCACTGGTGTGAGGGAATGCAGGACTAAGCACTGTCTGTTAAAGCTTAAGGAATTCACAATTTGTTGCAAGTAAACACTTCCCCAACACCCCTCTCTGTTTTTTCTGGGAATCAAACGCAAGCATTTTGTGATCACTGAGCCCAAGGCCGCCTCCAACTCTCCTGTCACCCACCAGCCCTTCTCTCTTCTCAAACAGCAGGTCCAGCGGTGCCTCCCCTCACTGGCTCAGTCACCAGCTGTGTCAGAAGTTCTCTGTCACACGCTCCAGGAACATCCTGGACTCTTAGTTCTCTGCTGCACTCTATTTCCAGCAGACATCCCCACCCTGTTCCATACCCCTTGCAGAGCCCTGCACCTCCTATCCATGGGCACCTGGGAAGGGGGGCCCTCAGAGAAGAACTGCACCCGCTGCACTGGGCAGCAGCCAAAACCCCCTCGAGTCAGAGCTGCAGGCCTGTATCTGCACAGGATGCTCTGGCTGCCCCACTCCTCATGGACTTTTGGCTGGAAATTTCTGCTTCATGCAGAAATGCCACTGCTGTGCAAACAACGGCCAGTGAGCCATATCCCAAAGGCATTGCAGTGTGGGGCTGATGAAGGAAGAAGACCCTTTCTCAATTCCTAACCATACCAAGGCCACCATAAATGGACGTTTTCATCTTTAGAAACTGAATGCAGAGCTCATTCACAGGGTGACAAGGAGTGGAGTTGAGGTTTGGTAGAGTTTTTTATTCTGTGTCCGACTCAGGCTGTTGATTTGAACATTTATTTTAAAATGCTTTTTAAAAGGCTGTGCAGTCTTATGGATTTGTTCTAATACCAAAATGGCTATATGAAATGTACTGGCATTTTAATTACATCCAAACTGATAAGTCTGTAAAAGCTTTCCAGCAGAATAGCCACTAAATAAGAAAGGAAAAGGTAATCTGTGGACTACTGACCTTGCAAATTTCTACTAAACTTTTTTAGTTAGAGCATAGACCACATTAATTCCTGTGGATAACTTGGTTTCTATAGACCTGTTGATTTCAAAGTAAAACTGTCAGCACGTACTAAGTGGAAATCTGAATACTCAGTTCCATGAGGTCTAATACTAGATACTCATTGTTCACCATATTAACAAAATTAGCATTCTGGCTATATTTTTTACTTAGAATCAACTCTTCTCTACTCTTTGTAACACCAGAAAGAGAGTTTATAGCAATGTGAACCATGGGTTGGTAGGGCATTACAGAAGTGTCATCACTAAATGTTCACATTTACCATGGCATCACTTCTTGCCTTTAATCCCAAGCTACAGCTCAGTTCCCACTTGTAGTCTGTATTTGCAGCTGGTTCTTACTTCCCTGTCCAGAAAAAAAAAATGTTTGGATCTCAAATCCAAACAAAAAAGAGGGGAGAGTCAGGTTCTGGATAGCTGTAGCAAGAACTACTGTTACAGTGAGCTCATGGGCATTCTGTTTCCCCTTCCCCGGGACCCTGTGACTCTGATCAAGATAACCCTGGATCCCTCCTTCCTGCCCCAACGGGGTTGGCGAAGAGCCAGGGAAGCCCACCCTGTCCAAAGTCTATATAGACCCCTGACATTTCCTGTTCGTCCTCTTTTGCCCCGCTCTCCCCCAGGATATCACAGAAAAAAGAGAGCTGCACCAACATTTATCAGGGTAAGAGCCTCCTTTGGAAATCTTTGCCTTCTCCTGATGTTCCTCCCCTCAAAGCCTCGGATCTCTGGGCTAGCCTGATAATTCAGGGGGCTGTGAGGGGGGGAACGTCAGTTGGCCCCCACCGTGTGCTGCCATAAGCCCACGAAGGAGCTGGAAATCCTATTTCAGAGGATCTCAATAGCTTTTTGAGACAGTGAGCTGCCCTATTACTCTAGCTGCCTTTAAAGGCTTTGAGTGAAAGGGAAAGGTCGGGGACCTCGCCTGCAGAACTCCCCCCCCCCCCCCCAGCTCGGATTTCCGTGCTATGGTGGGAATTCAAACAATTCGTGCTGTGTTACAAAGTCTGGTGGAGAATAGACCAGCGATACGATTAAAATAATAGGTGCAAAAGTATTGGTGGAACAAAAGAGCACACCAAAACATTTTAGCATTATTTTAAACAATGTATAGTTCTCAAATAAGCTCCTCCTGTGTTTTGTATGCTGGCTAATAGCAGAAATACCAAATTTTACTGTGCATGAACAGAATTTGCTTTCTTTTTGGGACCAAATTGGACAGATACTAACTTTAAAAGTCAAAAATGGTGAACATAAAGCTTCTCGATTTATTCCAATATTTTTACAAGCCCGAAGAAAAGATTTTGGAAGCAGAAAAGAGCATACAAACACAGAATCACAGTCCAAATAATCCCTTTTCACCCACCTACCCACCTCCTCAATATCCCAGCCCTGATATCCCTTCATCCACCCTGTATCCTCTTGTAACACCTGGTTCTTCTGAGAAATATAGTCCGGATTTCTCTGAAACCAAAAAATTCTCTTTCCACTGCGGCACCGGCACCCCGGGAAAGGGGGGGTGACCTGACTGTCACCGGGACTCGAGGGGTGGCGGGGGGACACAACCCTGCCTCTGTCGATGAATCTATACCATCTATAGCACCGGTTGTTTATTTAGGAAGGAGAAACGGTACCAGAACATATCAACCACTACCATAAAGAGACAAAACAGAGATCTGTGAAATACAGAGGGAATTTGGGAGGTCCAGTGAGATTTTTAAAGGGATGATAAGAGCAACGTTTAATTCAAATGAAATGGTACCTAAAGATATCACTGACTTGTTTAAATGTTTACTAACACCTTCTGAATATGAGATATGGGAAAATAAGTGGAAATTAGCTTTGACAGTATTTTTACAAGAAATACAACAAACGCCCAGTGATGCCATAGACACGGAAGGCAACCCTATTACAATGCATCATTTATGCAGTACAGGAGACATACAATGCCCAGAAAAACAAACCAGACTGTTATCTAGATCGGTTTTGGAAAAAATCTGTAATGCTGCAGAAATGATTTTGTATCAATTACCAGGAACTGAGGTTAAATGCAGCTATATTAACATTAAACAGTTTCCTTCTGAGAGTTTTTTACAGTTTGTGGACCGTTTGAGAAGCCAAGTTTAAAGACAGGTGCAAGACACCAGGGTACAAACAGATCTGATTAAAGAAATTACTCAGAAGAATGCAAATGAGACCTGTCGTAGGATTATCCTCAGTCTTCCTCTCGATCCAGCACCTAGTCTTGCTCAGATGATTGATGCCTGCGCCAGGAGACCAGAGCTGCTCGATACCCCTGACAGTCATACAGCATCTGCAGAACTACAGCCTGTTTCTACTGCTGCACCAAGTCCAAGGAGGCAACCCATGTCATCACAACAGCTGCAGCACATCATCTGCCTGCCTTGCAAGAAACCAGGACACTTTGC